GTTATTATCAAATAGGGGAATATTTGTCTATATACAGTAGAACCTTTATGAGAGGATACTATCACTAGAGAACACCTCTCTATAAAAAAAAATAGTTTTCATTATAAAAATTATCATTTTTACTACTAAGCAGTTCCCTGGTAAGAGAACACCTCTCCTTAAAGGACACTGTGGCTCTACAACTAAGCTCCCTTTACAGAAAGGTTCTACTGTAGTTACCAAAACTATAACTCAACTTGATGGACACTAACACAACAACCATGTGTATTACATTTAAAAAAAATCTAAATGTGAATAAAAATCTTTGATTAAAAGTAAAAATGCTTCAAATTAATTTCCTTGGCATTAGTACTGTAACTTCTCTGAATCAATTTGCACGTACAGTATAAATTCTAGTATTATATGAGGGTTACTCTGAAACTTTTGCAATAAACTGAAAAAAAAAATATTTTTTTCTCAAAATAATCACCTTTACTTTCAATGCATTTTCTATCCTTTGAACCCAGGATACAATTTTTTTTTTCATTCATCTGGGCTCATGTTTTCAAGTACCTACAGGCAGCACTCCACGGTGGAATCAGGACTTGTAAATTTTGATTCCATGTGCAAACTCTTTTCTATTAAAAACTCATTGTTTTTGGACTGCGACATTCGTCATGATAGAGAAGGATTCCTCTGATTCCAGTCTTTCTTGGCCTCCTTTCTTTCAAGCTTTTGATGACTTCTGGTAAACAAATTTGTTTATACCAATTTGCAGTTACTGTTTTTTCATCCTCTAAAGTTAATGTAGCAACATGACCACTTTTAGAGAAAATATTTACTACCATTCTTCTTCCAATACTCCTCATCCACTTGCCTTTTGTCGGAGGTTCTTCATTTTCAAACACCCAAACTAAAGATTGTCTTTTTGTTTTGGATCAAATTGTGAAATATCCATGTTTCATCATCTGTTATTTCATCAAGGCCATGTGGCATGGATTTTGCCACCCAAACTTGACCTGCCATCTAGCGATGGTTTATATTTTAATATATCGTTGACCGCCCAACAGCAGGCGGATTTCTCACATTGCAAAATATTCAGAGTGACTATGTATTATTTAACTATAGCAATGTTTGTACAGAGCACAGACTCATCTATTATTTACCAAAATTTCATGAAAATAAAAAGTTTGCTGGGATAAATCGTTCTATAAAAAGATAGAATGAATCTCTTATCAAAATGGACTCAAAAACTATGAACCATCTATTGGCCATTACTAAAAACTAAGCAGACTCAGGTCAGGAACAAAATTACAGCACCGGCTTAGGACAAATTCAGAACACCCATCTGGAACAGATAATTTCAGGCTATAGCCCTTATCATCAATCTAGGGTGGGCTTTGATTTTAGGAAAACCATTGAATTTGTCAAAGAGGTGTTTAGCTGGCAAAGTGACTCAAGCTAGAAGATGGGATAGTTGACAGAGCCTAATACAAATACTGTCTTATTATCACTTTTTTTTGCTTATCCCTAGTACATGTGGTACAGGCCATGATAATCATGGTGGGTAGAAGTTGGCGACTGCTTTTACTGTAAGTACACCACATGTCTACACATGTGAAAAGTAGTTCGGCTTTGCACTTACAAATAAATATGCCAGAGCCCCGTTTGGTTACTTGCACTCGCTGGTGGGGTTGGACTTTTGCAAAAATCGGGGGGCCACTGAAGCTTTTTTTTTTATCAGAAAAAAGTGCCCAATGCGGGATTATCACTGACTGAGAGAAGTGTAAAACAGATTTATTTTTCCAGGATCTGTGATCTACAATAATCACTAGGATAAATTTTACATTATTCAAATACTGCAAACTTACCTCTTCTTTCTTCTCCTCCTTTATGATGGTTTTCTTGATGGTAGGAGCAGCAGACTTGATTTTCCCGGCCTGGAGACAAAACATCAAGATTTACTTCTCTCATTTTTCAACTCAAAATACCTAGTAAAGTAGAGAGAACCTCTCTATGAAGGACAACACCTAGTGTAGCGGCAGCTGGCATGCCTACAGGATATATAGTAAATTATCAGTGAGCACATCACTGATGGTACTCTGTGGAGTTGTCTTTTTGACTGATTGTAATATATATCCACATATGTAAACTTATCTTCTTCTTCTTCTTCCTTATCTCCACTCAAACATATTAGGATATCAAGTTGTGACCCTTGATGGGGGGTTTGGCAACCATCATAATTGGGTGAAGTAGAATGCTTCTGCCTTTGTCATTAAGACTGGGAGCACTACTCAGTGGCAGGCAGACTTAGCTCCAAAAGAAATGACCGCCTCTTACATGAGGAACAGACGCCATGTGCAGGCGCTCCTAACATGGAGTACAAACGCTGCTCATCCTGTATCCCTGGATTAGGAGCCCTTACAGGGTAGTATCAGCCGGGCCAGCTAAGCCCAGGTTTTTTAGTGAGCTTGTTACTGCTCCTCCTCCTCCTTTTTCATCCGGGCTTGGGACCGGCAAAGGCGGAGTTATGTAAACTTATGTCTGTGGTTAGTCTAAAAAAAAGAGAAGACTTTTCTTTTTAAACTTCCAGATACTTCTTGCTGATTAACGTCAACTAACAAACACGAGGACGTTACATGGTAGCAGCGGCGCTTGTAAACAACGCCACTTGGTAAGAACAATTTATTAATTCCCAATATACCTAGTTGTAGAGCCAAAGTATCCTTTAAGGAAGAGGTGTTCTCTTACCAGATAGTTGCTAATTAGTATAAACAGTAATTTGAGTGCTGAAAACTGTCCTTTTTAGAGAGGTGCCCTCTAGTGCGAGTGTTCTCTCATAGAGGTTCTACTCTAACAGCCTCCATTATAACAGCAACTTGGTCAAAACTCTAAAGTCCCATGTTTTAAGTCAAAATTATTTCAACCATGGGTCGCAAAACAACATGGTTATAACAACATAAAATGTTACACAAGGTAATAAGACCAAATCCAAAAAATAATAAATAAATCACATACTATTTATTTGAATTTGATCTTATTACCTTGTGTTAATGGCTATATAACAACATAAAACCTTGGTCCCAGAGAGAGGTGATGTTGTTATAGAGAGAGATTTCACATATTAAATAATCTTTATTGAACATAATCTCACAGAATGCCAATATTTAGGGGAAGAAAGAGAAAAAACTCTAAAAAACACCTTCTGGAGATTTAGCAACCCACTGAAGACGCTGAGAACTATTTCGGAAAAGAAAAATATAGCAATAGAATTCTATAATTTCTACAGATCAATTGTAAATAGATTCATACACAAAAGAGGTAGTGAGGAAAGTTTTAGAACAGATGTGTAAATAAATCCCTTTTCAAACAAAGACTTGTGTGCACAAGGGGAAAGGGAAAGGAATTACTGTATTATTTTGTTGTTGTGTGGCGAATCCATACAGGGCAATGGGCCCTAATAAAAGCCTTTTTGTTGTTGTTGTTGTTGTTGTTATTGAACATAATCTCTGTTGGGAATCTTAAATCAGCATATGGGTATTTTTTAAATTACAAATATTTTCTCACAACGAGTTTCTTTTTATTAAAAAGGCTAGCCTTCAAGCGATAATCTCAGAAGAAATCAATAGATCAATTTTATGGGTTCTAGATGCCCTAGAAATGAAAATATACATATTCCATAAAATTGTTAAATTACAAACCAATTTGAAATTTTCAGTTATAATATCCAGGCTGCGCGCATTTGTTTTTGTGAATATTTCTGGTAAGATAAAGTCGATGTTTTATTGAGCCCGTTGAAGAGCGATTATCACTTGAAAGCTAGCGTTTTTTAATAAAAAAGAAACTCATTGTGAGAAAATATTTTGTAATTTTAAAACTTTTTTTCACAATTTTGTCATGAATATGGGTGGAAATTTTGCCGGGAGGATATTGATCTAAAGAGACAAAGGTTGCCTCTCCCGTCAAAATAGACGTCAAAACTAGACGCCATCATGGCATCTAGTTTTGACATCTATTTTGACGGGAGAGGCGACCTTTGTCTCTTTAGATGAATATGGGTATTATAATAATGCTTCCAGATAGAATATAACATTATACCTAAGGTAGCCTATCCATACAGGTTCATATCTGACAAGATCTGTACCTCTTTTATTCTCTTGTTTCTTTTGCAGAAGTTCTCCACAAGGTCCTCACAGGTAAGGAGATTTTCTCTGGGCTCCCAGGTGTCATCCTTCGGTCCAAATCCTTTCCATCGGACTCTAAAAAGTTCAACTCCCTTCACACATAACACAGAAATCATTATACTCAGATCTAACTCTACAAGAGATCTAAACACAAGATAATAAAAGACCAAATCCAAATAAATAAATAGTGTGTGACGTTTCGGTAACAGCATTGTTACCATCTTCAGCCAAAAGCACTGAATGAGAAATTTTACCACACGGGATTATTCTTGCCATCGCCCGCTCAAGTCTCAGTGGAGACTTTTCCGGGCAAAAAAAAAAAAAAAATTTACCACAGCATGGTTTAAATAGTTACTGTTATCAAGTGTGTAAAGAAGATAGAAGATAAGAAGAAGATAAAACAGATAATTATCTGTTGTGTTTCTTAGAAAATATCATCTTCTTATCTGCTATCTTGTTTACGCACTTGATAACAGTAACTATTTGAACTATGCTGTTGTAAAATTTCTCATTCAGTACTTTTGGCTGAAGATGGTAACAATCCTGTTACCCAAACGTCACACACTATTTATTTATTTGGATTTGGTCTTATTACCTTGTGTTTTTTTAGGGGAGTCGGTGGAAGGCTGGTTACACCGTTTGGTTTTCGACCACTACGACCCGGGTTCGATTCCCGCATTGGACACTTTTTTCTGTTTAAAAAAAAATGCTCCAATGGCCCCCAATTCTTGCAAAAGTCCAACCCCACCAGCGAGTGCAAGTAACCAAACGGGGCTCTGGCACATTTGTAAGTGCAAAGTCTAACTGCTTTTCACATGTGTAGACATGTGGTGCGCTTACAGTAAAAAGCAGTCACTAACTACCCACCATGATTATCATGGCCTGTACCACATGTACTAGGGATAAGCAAAAAAAAAATAATTGTGCCTTATCACAAGAGATCTAAAAAAGAAGTTTCTAGAGAAACTTTCAAAATTTGAATTGATATACAGTTAAACCTGTCTATAGCACCCCCTCTTGGGACTCACAAAAATAGGGTGCTATAGAGAGGGAGTGCTATAGACAGGTTACTTTTAATGTAAAATGTTTACATTTTAATGTTTAAAATCAGCGCTATAGAGAGGAAGGCGCTATTTAGAGGGAGGCGCCATTTAGAGGGAGGCGCTATAGACAGGTTTGACTGTATATGATAGTACAGTAGAACCTCCCTGGAAAGGACACCTAATTGCAGAGCCAAAGTGTTCTTTAGGGAGAGGTGTCCTCTTACTGGAGAGTTGTCAAATTGTAAAAATGGTAATTTTGCAAATGAAAACTGTCCTTTGTGGAGAGGTGTCCGCTAAAGGGAGGTTCTACTGTATATATAAAACTCTAAATAAATAAAATAATAATTAAATTTATTATTATAAAAGGAAAAAATCACAAAAGTAGAGAGAGAGAAAAAAAAATAGATGTAACACGAGTTCCTAAGGTGCAAATCGACAGCTACCCAAGTATATCACAATAGTACAAATTATAAACAACATATATAAAGCGCGCACAAAAAATTATAAACTCATATATTCTCTAAAAACACTTACCTTCTTTAATTTCCTGGCAATAATACATTTAACTATATAAAACTCATTTTTTGATGACATAACTACTCAGAAAAAAAAAAACTATTAAAAAGTCCCGCAAACCTTCTAGTTTCGATTACGTTCTTTCTACAGTGTTGCCAATTTTCTCAAAAATAGAAATACAGTGGTAAAAGATTTGACTTCATTTTTGCACACGGCGTATAGTTAATGATATATTTTTGTGTGTAAAATATCAAAATTGCTTCATTTTATAGAAATCGATATTTAAAAGCGCATTTTGTTATGATAAATTGGTTATTAAAACGAAACTCGGGTATTTTATAACAAGCGATTAATTCTTCGCTAGTAAGCTTTTGATACCTTAGAGTCATACTTGAGGCCCACGATTGCTTCAACTTCAAAAACGTCGTCAGTTTCCATTTAGTGCATCTCTTTAAAAGGCGCTAATTAAAAATATTAGCGGAAAACTAAGTTTTGTTTTGAAAAGTGTTGTCAGATTTAATGTAAGCAAGATATATTTTATTTATAGAAATATCAATGAATAAAATAAATTTTAGTAGTTATTAGTATGCACGCTTCTAGTTATAAAATATTTTATGAATTTTACAAAGAGCATTATAAAATTTGGAGTAATTAAAATAATGTGACATGTTAATGATATAAATAATGAGATAATATAAAACAATTTTGTTGTTTTTTTTTTCCTTATACTAGCCAAACGATCCTGACCAATGACCCAACTTCGCCTTGGTTCTGTATCTGAGTGTGAATGTTAGTCCAACAAATATCGTTTCACCAAAGGTGTATTATATTATTACATTGTATTATGTTACAATATAATGCGGCTTATGATTGTAGAAAGATGTTTGACAATTATACCGCAAATGTTTCTTTTAAACAAAAAATCTAAATTTATTTATAAAATTTTTCGTTCAAAAAGAACATTTACGGTATAATTGTCAAACATCATTACTATTATGTAGTGTAAAAGTAGTAATTATGATTCATTAATATATTATCATCACCTGAAAATATGAAAATTAGTCAGTTATTTTTCTAGTGTTGAAATTCCAATGTTTAAATTATGACAATGATCCTTTCCAAACATTTTTATATACAAATGTTATATACTATGGATTTCTATAAAGAACAATTCTAGGGATGCTGGACTTAGGTAGGTGATTCCTAAGAGAATGGCCATAAGAAATCTTTGGTATTGGAACGTTGAGCAGGTGAAGAAGAGGTGGTCCACGGTTTGGTCTTTCACCTTAGAAATGGGGCTAAATTGGGTCTTCTTTCATTACCTTTGCATAATCTGCTTAAATTTAACTGTGAGTAGTAAAAATTTTTATTTTGGTTTGATGTTTTGAAGCCTTGAGAGCAGTAGTTTCTTCATTTCTGGTGGAATAGTTTCTGATGTAGAGGTCTGTCCATTTTTCAGGGCTATCTGTGTATGATATATTTTTTACCCATATAACTAAATATTTAGAGAGAAATATTTATAACCCAGGTTCCTGGAGGAGGGGTCCAAACTATTTTTTAAATCTAATCTGTTCATATAGATATATGTGTATAATTAAGAGAATATATATATTATATCTATATTAATAAAATGCAAATTTCATAAGTGGTGTTCGCTAAAAACTTTCATTACAATGCATCAATTTCGACCAAATTTTCAACATTTATGTAAAACGAGATGGAGCAGGTTTGGCTTAACATCAAAATATTTTTCCTAACTTTAACATGCGTAACTTCGCTGTTATCGATTAAATACAAAAAAATCAACAGAGTTAATTTTATTTATATATAAATACAAAAAAAATTCAGCAATTCATTCAACTCAATCTAAAAAATATTCAAAACAAGCAATTTTAAGATAACACCATATGTAAAACAGTCGGCCAAGAAAACAACAACGATATTACATCTTTCTCACATATTCACACACAATCTTGATTAATAATTAAAACTAATCTTTAACATTGTTTATTATACTTCATAATATATAATATTCGTTAGGCAAACTTTCACTCGGATAAAACCGGGTACACATCCGCTAGTATATACATATAATTTTCCAGGCAAGAAAATCACCAGAAAAAAATTAAGTGTTAGGGTAGAAAATATTTAGAAAAAATCACTTAAGCAAATAAAGTTTGTAAATCTGAGTCCACCCCTCGTTACCATTATAAAATTTTGTTGTTTTCAGTTTTTTAGTCAAGGTGTAATATTTTATTGAAATCGAGAATTTACGCTTTGAAAGAAAAAGGCCGCCTACATGATTAAAATTCAAGAAAATGAACGAAAATGTAACAAGTTAGTAGCACATATCTAGAATCAGAATTTGATTAAAAACAAGGTGCCTCTTCTCATAACACACATGAAGTTTTGTCATTTTATTGCCCTATAAAACTATCCATGGCATCAGTTGGGTCCCAAAAGCCAGTCTGTGTCCAGGGTGAAGTCGAGACCTCTGGCCACCAGGAGGGGCTGGAACTTGGTATTGAGGCTCTCTACCAGCGCGGCCTCCTCCTCTCCTGCGGCGGAGAGCATGATGGAGGTCTTTCTTAGATCTGCAGCACGACATTACATGGAACATCACCTAAATCAAGAGCTTAGACATTACTGAGAAATGTAAAGATGGCCAAAATACAATGGAATACAAGAAGGTAAAATATCGGGAGAGAAAATTGGACGGGTATTATGATTTATCAGGGTTAGATTTAAGTTGCTATACTTAGATTATTCATCATAGCTTCCCGAATCTAGGTGAAATCATTAAAGGGAGAGGAATTGCATGAAAATAGGAAATTTCGTTAAAATATCAACGAATCTGCTCGGGATTGATCGAAATCATCAAAGAGAAAGGCATCATATGCAAATCGAAAATGTCATAAAAATCTCAATGAATATGATCAGCAGAAAAGGGACATTGCTTCTCCAATACAACGACTGCCCACAAATCTCAATAATGACACAATATGAGCTGCTTGAGTTGGGGTGCGAAACTCTTGATCACTCACTTTACTTGAACGATCTCCTGGATGCTGGCCACCTTCTTGTTGAAGCACCTCGAACAACAGATCGTATACGAGAAATTCTCCAAAATCCAATGTGTTGTCAAAAGGATCCCTTCAATAAGGAATTTGCCTCCCACAAACTCCATATTTGTTTATAATTGAAATAAATTTGATTAAATGTGATATATTGCGCTTGAAAAAGTGTCTGTTTGAAATCTACCATCACCCTATCACATCATCAGAGAACTTCCCCTGCCAATCACTATCACACCAGTAGAAAACTTCCCTCTGCTGACCATTCTATCACACTATCAGAGAACTCCCCTCTACCAATCATACTATCACAACACTAGAAAACTGCCCTCTGCTGACCATTCTTTCATACTATTAGATAACTCCCCACTGTGTAATCACACTACCACAGCACTAGAAAACTCCCCTCTGCTGACCATACTATCACACCATCAGAGAGCTCCCATACAACCAGAGAGTGTATGTGCACCGACACATGTGATTAATGCAGCACTCACGGGATAATCCTTCCAGGGCCAGTTCGCACACATGCTCCAGAAAGGAGACTGGGATGATGGCTGTGAGGGAGAAGTCTAACAGCCGGCTGCAAGATGTCAGCAGCTCTTCTAGAGCCAAGTCCAGGTCGGGGATGTAGTCCCATCAGCTCCAGGGTCAGGACTTCTGGGACACAGCGGTGGGGCGATTTCTTACTAGATTGCCTTTATAATACTTTGTAGGTAGCTCTAAAACTTTCTCTTTCACACACACAAATGTAGTTATAAGATCTCACACGTCAAGTTATATCTAAAGCAGAACACTCAGTACACACTAATAGTACTGGGGGGGGGGGGTTCTCTCTAAGGCGGAGCACTCAATACTAATCTACACACACCCATAGTACTGGAGAGCTCCAAGCTCTCTCTCCTATCAGGTTATCTCTAAGGCGGAGCACTTAATACACATAAATAGTA